TATCATTTCAATCACAGTAAAAACTTTAAAAAAAGAAAAGAAAGAAGAGTGATGAGACTCAAAGATGCTTGTAAAAAATCAGTCCAGTGGACTAATGTGAGCATCAGTCTCCACAGCTCTGAGACCAGAAGACCCAGATACTGCCTGACCACCACTTCCAACTGCTCTGAAAAGGATTCCAGTAGTGCAGGAGTGTGGCACCTGTTTTCTGCCAAAATTTATGACATTATTTGAGGGCCATACAAAATTATCATAAAACTTAGCCTGCTAGATTTGGGTAAACATTTAATTAACTCACCCCTAACGTGATGAATAAGGAATCTGGTAGCGTAGTGGTTACGAATCGGGCTGTAAGCCACAAGGTCAGCAGTTCAAAACTACCAGCTGTTCCGCGGGAGAAAGATGAAGCTTTCTGCTCCTGTAAAGATTTATACCCTCAAAGCCCTGTACCGGGTTGCTATGAGTCGGAACCGACTCCACGGCGTATAGCCACCACCACCACCACCACCACAACAACAACAACATGATGAATGGAAGTGTGGTTGCCTTGACAGGGCCCGACCAAGTGATTTTGCTGGCCTTACGTACAATAAAAAGCTAAAAACAAAAAAGAATTCTGAAGGAGCAAGGTCAGGAGGACTGGAGGGTGGGTAAGATTTCCCAATGAAATTCTCCGAAGACAGCCCTGACGACCCTTGTAGACTGAGCAGGTACATTGCTGTGAGCCCTTAGAGAAAATCCATCAAGATTACCCTTTTGGGATCCCATTAAACAGTCACCCTAACCTTCTGAGATGACCTCTCTGCTTCTCTTGGAAACCAGTTTTTTTTATTTTCTAGTGACTTTTATTATTTAATGCTTCTAGATTTAACCAAATACATGCCTTTTCTGGTATATTAACATATTCAACAATTTACAACCAGGAATTCTGTCTCTACAGGTGATGTTGCATATCTATGTTCTGAAGTTTTTTTTATTATTTTTATTTTAAGTTTTTATTTTGAACTGAGTGATAGTTTACATTGGAGAACACCGGCTCTACACCATGGTTTCACTGCAATGATTACAATCTCCTCTGTGCATCACCAGTCAACAGTATTTGCTTCCATTCCCTCTGTTGTTGTTGTTTGGGGGGGGTGGAGTCCATGGTATTTTAATATTCTTCTCCAACACCATAACTCAAATGCATCAATTCTTCGATGGGCTTCCTTAGTCATTGTCCAACTTTTGCATGCATATGAGGCGACTGGAACTACCAAGGCTTGGGTCAGGTGCACCTTAGTCCTCATATGATACCCTTCCTTTTGAACACTTTAAAGAGGACTTGTGCAGCAGATTTGCCTAATGTAATACATAGTTTGTTTTCTTGATTGCTGCTTCCATGAGTGTTGATGGTGGATTTGAGGAAAATGAAGTCTTTGACAACTTCAATCTTTTCTCCATTTATCATGATGCTATTTATTACTCCAATTGTGAGGATTTTTGTTTTCTTTATATTGAGGTGCAATCCACACTGAAATCTGTAGTCTTTAATCTTTGTCAGCATTTCAAGTCTTATTTGCTTCCATCTACATCCCACAGGTTGTTAATCAGTGATTAGAAGCCCTTTTAAGAACAGAAAAAGTTGAGGGCCTTGTCACACAGACCTTGTCTTGGGGAGCAGCTAGGGAATGTCCCAGCAGCAGTGAAGGCCTCATTAATCACAGGGTGACCGCTGCCGTCCCTCAGCACAGCTTCCTTCTTCCCTGAAGTTCTCTGCAAATGGAAGAGCCTTTAATTGGTTCAAAATTACTAGTAACATGAATGCAAACAGCTTCCTGAGCTTGCTAACACCAAGACCATGATTTAGGGAGAAGCGATATGCAAATGGTACAACCTTGCTTGCTGAAAAGTGAAGAGAACTTAAAACATTTACTGATGAAAATCAAAGAGCACAGCATTCGGTATGGATTGCATCTCAATGTAAAGAAAACAAAAATCCTCACCATTGCACAAATAAACAACATTCTTATCAATGGTGAAAAGACAGAAGTTGTCAAGGACTTCATTCTTCTTGGATCAACTATCTACACTACTCATGGAAGCAGCAGTCAAGAGATCAGACGACGTATTGCATTAAGCAAATCTGCTGCACAGGAACTTTTTAAAGTGTTGAAGAGCAAAGATGTTAACTTGAGGACCTGACCCAAGCCATGGTATTTTCAATAACTTCATATGCATGCAAAAGCTGGACAGTGAATAAGGAAGACTGTATAAGAATTGATGCTTTTGAGTTATGGTGTTGGAGGAGAATATTGAAAGTGCCATGGGCTGCCAAAAGAACCAATAGATCCATTTTGGAAGAAGTGCAGCCAGAGTGCTCCTTGGAGGCCAGGATGGCTAAGCTTCGTCTCTCATATTTCGGACACATTGTCAGGTGGGACCAGTCGCTGGAGAAGGATATCATGTTTGGTAAGGTGGAGGGTCAGAGGAAAAGAGGAAGACCCCCAACGAGATGGTCTGGCCAAGTGGCAGCATCAATGGACTCAAGCGTGGCAACAGTAGTGAGGTTGGCCCAGGATCGGGCAGTGTTTCGTTTTGCTGTGCATAAGGTCACTATGACCTGTCACATGGTCAAGATGTACCCTGGACTGCAGGTCCCCAAGGGCAGCACCATCACTGGCCTCGGCATCCCCAGCTCACTAAGCAAGGGACAGGGTCACCCTGAGTGCCGGGGAGGACAAACATACACAGAAACAAGATGCAGGGCCCCAGCCTCGGGAACGGGCCAGTCTGCAGGTGCTGCATGGACAGGCAAAAGGTCCCCTCTCAGACCCCCCCAAGCTATTTCCTACCCTCACCTCAGCCAGACCTACTCGCAGCCTCCTCTGTAGACCTCGGTTCAGGACATCAGCTGTTACAGTCCACCCTTCGGCAGCACGGCACTGGGATATGGTCAGGAGCTGCCCATTGTGAAACTCAAATCTGGACACATCAGCCAAGCCAGGTCAAGGTCATTAGGGTTCCTCCAAGAAACCCCCAGGGACCCTGGCTTCACTAGCACATTAGCACTAGCAGCTCCCATCACCATCAACTCCAGCCCCCCATGACCACAGCCCCCCGTGACCACAGCCCCCCAGTGACCACAG